CTCATCGGCACTAAGACGCCGCATGTAGTTCGGTGGTTGTGCCACCTCGGTAACTACGCTCGGCCTGCAGTGGTGGGTCGGGAACTACGCTCGCGCGTCGTGCCTCCGTGCGTCCGTCTCCGCTGCTTGTCTTGTGGACCGCAGCCAGATGGTCCTCGAGCATTCGTGCCGACTCCATGGCAGCCCGCATCGATCTCGGTCGGTCCAGTCGGACCTCAGCGGCCAGCTCGGGCTTGATCCCAACCACAAACGTGCCAACAAGTGCGCTCTCGGGCCATTCGCGCACGCGGCTCGCTAGTCGCTCGAACTCTTTTTGGTAGTCGTGAAGACTCCCGCTTTGACATATATGAGTGAGTACCTCGTCATAGTCATGGTATTCGCTCGGACCAAAGCGCGTGATGATCTCCTTCTCGAAATCCTTCCAATGTACACGCACGCCTTTGCCCTTGTAGACGTGCGAGATCCACTGCCACCAGATGTTCGCCTCCCCATCGAGATAGTAGGCGGCGATTTTGACTCACTCGGATTTGAGCACGTCATTGATCTCGAAGTATTGTATGGCTCGGCTTAACCACGCGTCCGGGTCAGTTCCCGTGAACATGGGCATGGTAAGCCTCGGTTTCTCGACCTTCCTCTCTTCACGTCGACTGGACGCTCGTGTCCTTCTCGATCGACGGTCGTGGTCATCGCGGTCGCACTCGGAGCTGCTCGATCGAGCCGTGGTCGAGCTCGACCTATGACTCCCTCGCGGTCGTCGCATAGCTCGGGTGAGTTGTGCAGCGAGGTCATGCACCATGAGCTCGAACTTCGCGAAATTCTCGTTAGCCGCATGTTGGCCATCACCAAGGGATCTCATGCTTTCTTCCAACATCTCGAACCTCTCTCGGTTTGTCATGACTTAAGAGATTTTTTTTTTTTACACTCTCAAACACTCACGCACACACAAGAAGATATATATATATATTTTTTTTATCTCTCGAACAAAACTCACGAAAAGAGAAAAAGAAGAATTCGAAAAGAATAGATAGAAAAAGTTAAACAAGACACACGATCAACACCTCTCAATGAAAGCACCAATGATGAAGGATCGTGTGTCTTTCCAACTCGTTTGTCTCGAGCGATGCTTTGCCACGACTTGTTCTCGACGATAGGTGTGGACGACTCGGTTATTAGCCTTATCTTCTCACGATTTTGAGATGGTTCGGGTCTTAGCCTTGCCAACTCGGTTGTATGATAAAACTCTCACGAATTCTAAACACACGGTTTGCTCTTACGAACGATTTTCATTAATTTCTCCATCATATTCGAAATTAGGAGAGTACATGGGTATTTATAGATGCTAAAATAATTCTAATCCTAGTCTAAGAAGAACAACTAAATCATGCACGTAAATAAAGTCCTAAGGTAACTAAATATCTAACATATCAAGACTTACCAAAACTACTAAGGCACATGCCTTTAATTTGCAATCCTAACCAAACTAATAGTCCTAATAAAGCTAAGTATATCGGCCTTTGGCCATCTAGAAGATTCTCGGGTTTCTTGCTTGCACGGCACTTCACCAGAACCCTAGCCATCGCGCGCTAGTCTTCGCCTCGCGAGGTCTCGGGTTTGATCTCTCCACACGCGTCCCACGCGTTTCCTTCCATGCAAGTTGCACGGATCAACCCCAGGAGGTGTAGTATTCTTCGCCCACCAAGGACTCGCTCCCGTCAGCCCTTGCACGTCCCGCCCGTTGCTGACCGCGTCCCGCGTGTATCCTATCGTGCCACGCGCGCGCTCCTGCATCCGCGCGTCGTAATCTCGCTCGCCCGACGCCCGATGCGTCGTGCCAGGTCTACGCGTACGCGTGCCGCTCACGCCAGCTTGCCCCGCCCGTCGGTCGTGCTCGTCTAGCGCCTTGCGCGTGTTCCCCACCGCTGTGCCCAACTCGCACCCGTTCATTGAGCCTATCGCAGCACCCACTTCACTCGTACGCCCGCCTCATCGTAGCCATCCCAAGTGCACGCTGTCCACCCAACATCCGCCCCTCGTGCACCTTCTTCCTTAGCCCTCATGTGCCGTGTACGTCGCTCTCTCGCGCACGCCTTGCACCAGCCTCCAATCTTTCCGGCCACCTTCTTCTCGCTCTCGTCGTCGGCCCAATGCGCACCTCCCGTCGCATAGCCTCTCCGAGCCATCTTGGCACGGCCTCGGTAGTCGTCCCGACCCTTAGCATGCCTTTTCACGTGACTCGAGCTTGGGTCATCCTCGGGCTCAGAGGGGCCGACAACCACATCTTNGACCGCCCGGCTGCAACCCGACCGAGCCGGCCTTAGCCCAAACCCGGTCCTTTGACATTGTTTGACCCGTTTTCTGATTTTTCCAAACCTCTTGACCTCCGTAGACCTATATGACTTCGTTTTTAGTGTCGAGTCAATTTTTAAAGATTTTCAAAACTAAGTCCCGAGTCTAGCTTTCAAAACCTAGTGTTCCAACTTCCACAAAACTTCACGAATGACTTAGTCGAAATTATTCGGCTAAGTATGATAATTTTTGATGTCTTTCTAAGGGTCAAGATAAAATACTTATGAAGTATTCTTGACTAAATGTAGGTGTTTGACGAGTTGACCTTGCAACCTACACAGCAAACCGGTGGTATTTCCATTCTGCTGAACCAGGTGGGTTTTATTTGAAATTGTTATGCCTTAATTAATTGTTATTGTTGTGGTATGATCAATGTATGCATATGGACCATGTAGCCTTCGATGTGAGCTGTACCGGCCGTCGAACGATTATCCCCGTAGCTGTAGAACGTACCTTCGGGTAGTCTCCTTTATTATTGTTGGCAGTTAGGGCGTGAGCCTTGGCTGGTGATCCTCGTATGTAAGGCCAAGGCGTACGTTTTGGCATTCGGGGTGGATTTACTCCTGTTGGCCGGGCACTCGATGTAAGACCTTAGATAAGGCGTTCGGTATATAGTTCGGCAGTAGTCTATTGCTATAGGTGTGCACATGAGACGATTATTGATTATTGATAGGAGATGGGATGATTATTGATTCGTATACATGCTGCGACCATACCTAAATTGTGTATTGATCATTGAATATTAATTATTGCATAGCGGTGAGCACCTCGATTTTTCTATTGTGCTCACCCCCACCCGCTCTTCATGGATGCAGGTTAGTGTTGCGGGCACGGCGGAGGGATGCGAGTGGTGGTCTTAATAATTGATATTGCTTCCGCCTAGAACTGAATATTGCTATTACAGCTTTCTTTATTATTGATTACTGGATTATTGATAGGGAGTGTACTCCCTAGGATGATTTGATTATTGAATTGCGAAGTTGAGTATTGATAATTGAGTATTGATGATTGTATAAGTATTGGTGAATGAATGAGTATTGAAAATTTGGTTAAGTATTGATAAACCGTTTGAAAATGAGTAACGCTTCAAGTGTTTATTGAAATAAATTTGAAAAATTTATTCTGATTTTCGGCAATAAAAGTAGGGCATTACACTTTCATGAGGAAAAAGAATCGAGTGTTTACCATATTGAGAATAGTGACGAGAATTCGATCATTGCGAAATCAAGTTTTCGTTTTAATCGCTGATGTGTGAGTCTGTCATTGTTGCTATTTTTGGCCCGTTTCTGGTAACCTGGGAATCTCGACATCTTCATGTGAGTTGTAATTTTATCTCCTAGGTTTCAGCGCATCATTCATCTAAATATCTTTTATGTATAAAGAGATACGCCCAATGTTCGAACGTCGTGCAATCTGTTTTTCTGAAATTGACAGCAGGTTTAATGTGTAAATTTGACATGTTGTAGCCCTTCAACTTGGTCGTTTGCACCTTTGCTGCCCAAGTATTTTTCGCTTAACCTTGATCATTTCCTTTCGCATGGTGGTCAAGATAAATTATGTTTTCGAGACTCCTCTTGGTTATTCAATTTTGTACTTTGGAATTTTCGCTAGATTTTCTCCTTCCTTGCGTTAAGAATCGAAATTTTACCTTCTGTTGATCCTCATTTATGCTAGTAAATTTGGAAATCTTGTTTCGTGATATCTCTTAGTCGATGCGAATATTTTAGAATGCGGATACCAATGCAACTCTCGAAAGAAAGCTCAACCCCGAGGAAGACGAACGGTACATATTCAACTGTGATCGATGTAGATGTAACTTCAGACGAACGAGCTTGGAAGTCAACACCTAGCAGATCGATGCAAAAGACTCAGACGCATCTCTCGGATGACTCGGTGTGACAGAAATCCTGCGAACATTCAAATTCAGGTCGTGAAGTAATGCATCGCTATGAAGAGAGTTAAGAAGATTCATTTCCATGAAACGAAGTCGACGACAATATCATGAAGTATGTTTCCACCTTAAAAGATTTCGCAGAATCTTTTAAGGAGGATAGTCGAGTCCGAAGCAAGCACGTCGTGAAGTGCAGAACTGTAACGCCCCGTTCGTTTATTAGAATTTTCCGAATATTATATTATTATTTATTGGCATCTTATTTGATTTATTCCTTTGTTTTATATTATTTGCTCGATTATTGTTATTAACTGCTCATCTTTATCTGCTTATAAATTGAATTTCTATGTGATTATTATGTATTTATTTATTATTTATGTGTTAGAATTATTAGGATTTATTTGTATAAGATTTAAATTGTTTCGGCGATTTTCGGTTTAATCGCGTAAACCGAACTCTTATCCGTTTTAACTCGTTTTCAACCCGTTTCGACCCAAACCTCGGATATTTATTTTGACATTGAGGTCCAAGCTCCGTCCAATTAAGCCATTCAAAAACTGGTCTTTCACTTGTGAATAGCATTTAAGCCTTAGCATTTTTCCTACCTCTTTTTCCTCCTTGAAATTTATATTTGACTTAATCTATTTAGAAGAGATTTTGACCAAATCAATCAGCCCCTATTTTCATCCTTTTTGACCATGCATAAGAGGTTGAAAGGGATCAAATTGTGCCTTGATTTGGTAAGTGAAGATCCCTCCTTCGATTAATCCCAATCGCGCGTCTCTCTCTCAACCCAGATAAGAGCAGCGGTAATTCTCGATAATTTCCCCAAATCCCTTCGCTTGTCGATCAGATCGGAAACGAGAAAACCAAAAATCCTCTCCCAAATCTCGTCGCTCTCAGCGAATTCTCGATAATTTCACGGCCCATCTGAATCGTAGAAATCAGTCGATACCAGCCCTCGCGAGCCCTTCGCCGGTGTCCTCAAGCATCCCTGCATTGATTCGACCTCCGTCGACTTCGGCCCTCGAATTCTAGCGACCAGCTCTGTACGGCGACTCGTTCTCGGGGCGTTTTAATCTCCTTTTTCCGGCGACCGTCCCCAAACCTCGTCCGACGGCCAAGCAAATTTCCGACGAGAAGGCGAACAGCGACCCTCGACCTCCGACGAGGCTGCGACTTTCACGAGTATCAACGTCCATGAGTCGCAATTTCTGAACTCCGACCCCGTCTGACGAGCCGCGGCCTCATACAGCAAATCGAGGAAGCCCCCGAGAGTCGACGACCGAAACTAGACGCGAGCCACCGCAACCCGAGCTTTTCCGGCAACGAGCAGCAGCTGCTCGAGGCTCTTATTGAGCAACCGTCGATTTCATTTCTGAGCAGCAGCAGTCCCGATCGGATTATACGACGAGCAGCGGGGACTTTTCCGACGAACAGCAGCCCTTGCAGGCCCGGGCGAGAAGAGTAGCGGGTCAATCCTTTGCCAAGAGCCCCGAACAGCCTGTTTTCCACGTCCGATTACCGGGCAATAGCCCGGGACTTGTCGATCGTCTCTCGGGGATATCCGACGAGCGAACCGAGCCTTTTCGAGAGTCAAGAGCCAATCGAGCCTCCCTTTCAATTTTGTTTCTAGCCCGAGAGAGGTATATGGCTGAACCATTTGAATGTCATTTATATGCTGAGGAAATGTGTTGACTATCAAGGATTTACGCTCAGTCTTATTGCCTCATGTACATGTTGATGATTTGTTAAATTGTGTAGAGAAATAGAGCTTATATGCCTTGCCTTATCTTGATTCTTGAGAGGCTATGTTCATGAGCTTTTGAACTTGTTTGAGTGATGTTTATATTGCTGGAAATGTGCAAGTATCATAGGCTTATTTTCAGTTTTTAAAGGCATGGAATTGTGGTAAATATAATCAGAATAGCTAAGGGTCCGTGCTGGTTGTGTTTTGTAGTTTTTCTTATGTGTGTATGTGGAGCTTTTCTTTACGAATTTTAAGATAACAGTTGCTTGGTCAACGCATAGCTTTCTTTCTGATGAACCAGCACAAAGTGATTTTCTGTACCAACAGTTTCTATAACATGTACACTTCGTTTCTACTTGGTCCTACATTAATTAATTTGGAACTAAAGCATGCTTTCAATCGTCATTACCGCTAGAAAATAAATACTTTTTGAAACAATGATTTGAGTTTAGTTGCTGATATTTAAAAATCATTAGTCTGGTGTAGAACTTGTTGTTTTATGTATCCTTTATTAATTGTCATGTTTCTAGTTTCGTTTGGATATATTTCATAGCAATTTTCTTCTTGATCACATACAGTTGTTGCATATGTTGAAAATTGTAACAATATGAAAATTGTAAACATTAAACATGAGAATTATGAAAATTGTAACAATATTCTGCAGATTTCGAATTTTAAACAAAACTAAACCAGTATGAACTCCAAAAATCCTGGTCATTTTTCCACACACATAATATCATTAAATCAGCATTTCAGCCAAAAATAGTAATTTACAGCAACAGATCAAATTATCATAATGAAAACAAGTTTCAGTAGAATACTAAAATAAATTATTTATCCTAGCAAATGAAGTCCAAAAATTCTAAAACTTTTACACAACATGTAAATATGCTATACAGACATCATACTCAAATTTTAGCCAATTTGGAGCACAAATCAATTTAATATGCAATTTAGAATATTCTGCCCAGAAATCAAAATAATTAATTAAAAATAGCTACAGTTGGTATTTTAATCTGAAATGTTTACATGGCATACATGATCAACAGAGGACTAGACACACAAAATTTCACATCAATCGGAGCAGCATATAACATATCAGGAATTTTATAAATTCCGGCAGCAATATAGATTTCGAAAATTCACAACACTCAATCAACAACTCGAATTGACACGAGGTCAAATCCATTGTCTCAAGGACAGCCCTAAGTTCCATAATCCACAACAACTTAACACGTTTTAACGTGATCTCATTCGAGTTCGCACGAACTGAAAAGATCGATACATAATTTAATAAAAACAAGGCTCACACTTTCATATCAATACCAACATTGATCACATAACATGTAAACACATAAATACACATTATATATATAGATCATAAAAGGGTTAAGATTAAAGCCTCGGTGTCGTTCTCGGGAATACGTTCAAAAAACAGGACGAAGGAAAGGAACGGCATGTCGAAGGCGGCTCGCGGCGGCAGCAGCGGCTCGACGGCTGCGCTTCGTCTCGCGGAGGAGGAAGTCTCGCGGCTGGTTCCCGGCGAGTAGACGGTGTCGGCTTGCTGTTGGTCGCGGATTGAGAAGGGCTCGCGAATGAGTGGTCGTCGGCTTCAGCGGCGGCGTCTCGCGAGCAGGGGCAGCGACGATGGTGATGGCGATCGGAGTTGCACGCGCGGCGACGATGAGTTCACGAGGATGACGACGGGGACCTCGCGAGCAGAGGGTACTCGCCGGTTCGTGGAGGAGAAGGCGGCGTAGGAGAGAACGAGAGATTTAAGCAAATTTCTTTGTCTGCGGGGCGTGATTGATCAAGGGAGAAGAGATAGATACATATATATATCCTAGGTTTAATACCTTGGCAAGCAAGACAACACACACACACACATGCACGAGGAGAAAGAAAATTTGGTTTGGGCGCGGTCCGGTTTTTGGGCTGGGCGCACGGGCCGGGTCGCAGGGTGTGCGGTTCGGGCGAGATTAAAGACTCGGTTCTTGGTTCTTTCGGGCTCGACTTAGCCCATAAATTAGTTCGGTTTCTCGCACGAGAAATTTAAATAAAATCCGGATATTATATAATTAATACACACAATAATTATTTAATAATGTTATAGGATATTATACTAGATTGGGTTTAATGGATAAAAAGAGAATATATTGAAGAATAAGCCCACAAGGTTTGGAGTGATAAGGTACACTCCCCTTATAAAAGGGGCTAAGGTATCTCATTCTCTCACTCTCTCTACATTCATGACTATACACTTGAGATTTGAAGTGATTCTGACTTGAGCGTCGGAGGCGGCGTTCGGTTCTTGCAGGTATGGTGGCCGTCCGAGTTGAAGGAGCCCGGGTGAAATCTTATTCATTTCATTGGCGCCGTCTGTGGGACCCATTAAAAAAGCCAAACAGAGTTCCGACCGAAAAATTTGAGAAATTTTCTAGCAAGCTCCTTCTTCTCCATCGGCCGCCGCCACCCTCGTCGCCGGCCACCGAAAAACGTGTTCCGATCGGAAAATTATTTACGTCATTGGATAGATCTCTTCGAGGTGGATCTCCCCTTAAGATTTCATGCAAAATTTCCTCCGGGAAGACCGTCAATTTTGCGGTCAAAGTTTCCAGATCTAGCAAAAGTTTAGTCAAAATCGGACATTCAAATGCATTTTCCCGGCGATCCGTGAGAACTATGAAAAATCCAAGAGTACCATTGGAATCCTCTCATCGAGACGAGTCTCCAGACATTACCTTCGCCGGAAGCCGCCGCCGCCTCCGCCATCGGCCGCCGCGAAAAATCCTCCGATCGGAAAAATCTTTACGTCATCGTGATGCTCTTCTTGAGCTCGTTCATCCCTTAAAGTTTCGTGCGAAAATTCCTACGGGAAGGCCGTCAATTTGTCGGTCAAAGTTTATAGATCTAGAGAGAATTTGGTAAAAAACTGGTCATCTCCTTCATTTTCCCTTCGATTTCCGGCGAACTACGTCGAACCGACGGCACCATCGGAATCGCCTTGCCGTGGCGTGCTCATGGTCGGTTATTTTCGCTGGAACCGGAGATTTATTTTTCCGGCAGTGAATTTGCGGCGAGTTGCAGTCCTGCTCGCGATATGGCTCACAAGTGCGGATCTCTGAGCAGCCCAGGAGGAAGGCCCGGCGTGTGCTCGAGCTCAGAGAGATGGACCAGGTATGCGGTCGGCCCAGTAGCTATGCGGGCAGCCCAACTTGGAAATCCCCAACAGGAGGGAATGAGAATTCTCGCGGGCCGCGCTCGGCCCGCTCAGCCGCGTCACGCACAACCTCTGGCCCGCCCCCAGCCCGCGAGGAGCCCGCCTCCTAAGCTGCCCCCAGCCCGGCCCAACAGGGCATCTCCGTGGCCCAGCAGCCCATTAGCGCCCATTTTGTGGTTCATGGCGCATGAAACCCTTTCAAAGGTGGCCCAGTGAGCAAAAACAGCCCAATTTTGTGCTCAAGCCTAATTTGGGATGATTCGACGCGCACGGTGTTGTAATTTGAGATAGTATTCTCATGAGGAAGGCATGAAGCTAATTTAAATTATTGGTTCAAGGGATTTTTAAATTGGTGAAAATTGGAGTAAATATTTGATTTATTCGCGGAGAATAATATGATGTGATATACTCGTGGAGACTATTTGATTCATTTGTGGAACATTATTTGACTTATGCGTGAAGCTTATATGGTTTATTCATGAAGATATTTGGTTTATTGAGGAGTATTATTGGACTTATAGTGGAATATTATTGGGTTTATTGAGGAGAATTATGTGATTTAGTCATGGAATTGTTCGATTTGTTCGAGGATAATTATTTGATTTGCTTGAGATATTATGTAATTTATTCGTGGTGACATTCGATTTGTTCGATAAGAATTATTTGATTTACTCGAGATATTATATGATTTATTCGTGGTGATAATCGATTTGTTCGAGGAGAATTATTTGATTTACTCGAGATATTATGTGATTTATTCGTGGTGATATTCAATTTGTTCGAGGAGAATTATTTGATTTGCTCGAGATATTATGTGATTTATTCGTGGTGATATTCGATTTGTTCGAGGAGAATATTTGATATATTTGTGGAGTTTATTTGACTTATTTGTGGAGATATTATTTGACTTAATCGCGGATAGCTTATTTGAAAATAAATGCGAACCGTGGTTTTGGATTGCGGATATCTTGTGATTGTGTTTGACATATGTTTGGTGCATTTATCACTTTTATGGGTGAACTCGAGGAGATGGATTAAAATTATATGATTTGATATATTGATATACTCGGAACCTCTCATTTGGATTTTCATGTGAAAATGTGAGATTTTATTTGAATAGACTATTCATAATCTTTTAAACATGTCATTGCTAGAGCATGTCTTAAATCGAGGAGATGGTGATGTTTGTGTTTGATCTCTTGTTTTTCTTGCGTGGAGAATTGCAAAATGGA